TACTATGAATTGTGGTTCCATGGGTATGCTCATCTGTGAAAATTTATCAAGTTGTCAGAATCCTACTGACCACGCGCTTCTGTAGGTGTGTTACACTGCCCTAACACCCAAAGGCCCCACTCGTGCATTCTCACCACTGCCAAGCTCAAGCCTATCTCCCCCCACCCCATGTGCCATGAGCCTGTGTTCACACAAGCACACACACTGGGCCAGCTCCTTCCATGTCACTGTTAAGGAAGTGTTCAGAATGGAAGCGGACCAGGCACTTCTAGCCTCAGTGAAACCTGGAAGTCCAGCTCTCCTGCCCAGCTAGTCCTCCCTTATATATAAGCACCATCAGGCCTACCATGTTCTAACACAACATTATAAATATGCCAATCCTCCCTAATTTAATCTCTAAAGCTTACTCGATCCTAATAAATATACCAACAGGACTTTTTTTTTTTTTGAACTAGGAAAATTGACTCTGAAGTTCAAATGGAAAAGTAAACAAATGAGGACAGCCAGAAAATTCTGAAAAAGCAGAGAAATGAGAGCAGTATTAGCCTAACTTTAAAGCATATTGTAAAGCTGCAATAATTAAAACAGCATGGTACTAGCACATGAATAGAGAGACACAACTATGGAAGAAACTAGAAAGTTCAGAAATAATAAAAACAAAAATAGCTCAGTCTGCACTACTGGGTACAGTGCACCTCAGATGCACTCCTAAGGGTAGAAGCCACCAGGCAGAACTAGCAAGGGATGGATGTGAGAGGGGAGGCTGCTGAGGTTCAGCTACAAGTCAAGCCTGAGCCCAGGACAGAAAAGCCTCTGACTCTGCAAGGGGACTTTTGACCTCTTTGGATCTCAAGGCAAGAGGAGAGGGTAAAGCACACAGATTAACCACCCAAAAGAGACTCCCCAGAGGCTTTATCCAGACAGAGGGTCTGAGGGTTTAAAGCCTTTCTTTGCCATCTTCCCTTTGCCACTGCAGCCCTTAAGGATCTCTCTTCAAAAGACTCTAACAGTTAATGAGATGACATTTAGCACTTCCCTGTTTAGCTGGAGTCCAAGGGGCTGAATGGCACCCCCAAGCTTCTCCAGGGCAAGGGACATCCATGTGTCCCCATGTAGCCCTCTGCTCCAGGCCCTCAGGTAGTACAGATTGTTAAAGAGAAGGCAGGAATTTTCCTGTCCACAATAAGAGTATAGGGAATCCCTAAATATTTTTATATTTCCTTCAGGCCTTCGCTCAAATATTATCTTCTCAGTATCAATTCTACATGCCACCACCCCACCCCACCCCCAGTATACACACACAGTGCCTATCTCCCTTCCCTGTTTTATTTTTCCTCTTTAGCACTAATCACTGTCATACTATATATTTAATTTACATCCTGTTCATTGTCTCCCCCACTAGAAGGAAGCACAAATAAGACAAGGATTTTTGTCTGATTTGTTCACGGCTGTTTCCCCAGCTCTTAGAACAGTGTCTGGAACAAAGTAAAAGCTTGAAATATATTTTTGGAATGAATGAATGATTAGCCATATTTACTTAAATACTTGCTCTGCGCTAGGACTTTTCTAAACATTCTGTTACTTAGTCCATTTACACTTCATAACCACCCTGTGAGGTAGTATAATTGTTTATATTTTCTAGATGGGGGACACTGAGTCTCAGAGACATTCAATCATTTGGCCAAGGTCACATCATTTTTACATGACAGAGCAGGGCAGAAATCTGTCTGGCTCCAAATTCTTAGCCATTACCTATACAAGATGAGCTAGGTTCAGGTGGAGGAGAGAAGGTGGAGAAGGATAAAGGAAGAGGCAACAGAAAACCTCTGGAACTCTAGACCAGCGTTGTCCACTAGAATTTTCTGCAATGATGAAAATGCTCTGAATCTGTGCTGTCCAATACAGCAGCCACTAGCCACAAGTGGCTAGTGAGCATTTGAAATATGACTAGTGCAACTAAGGAACTGAATTTTTAATTTGATTTAATTTTAATTAATTTAAGTTTAAATAGCCATATATAGCTAGTGGGTACCATATGAGAGGGCACAGCTTTAGACTTAGACTAGCTCTGGTGACTGGGAGGGAATGTTCTCACTTACTGGGTCTATGCCAAGCAGGCCTGGTGGGATCAGGAAAGGGAAGAGGGAAGAGGGTGCCTATTTACAGCAGTGAGCACCTTCCTTACTTTGTGTAATGCTTACCAATGCCAGTAAGGGGAGTATTTACTTGGGACCCAATTCTCTGAGAGTCCAAGATGAGGTCAAGATCAGTGTGCTTGTTGCTTTGGGACCTTGGTCCTCAATCAGAAGAGCTTCCTCTCGGGGCCGGCCCGGTGGCGCACTGCGCTAGTGCGCCGCTTGGGAAGCGCGGCTGCGCTCCCACCGAGGGTTCGGATCCCACATACAGACTGGTTCCTGCTCACTGGCTGAGCGAGGCGCGGGAGCAACACCGAGGGTTGCAATCCCGTTGCCGGTCCCGGTCCGGTACGGGGGCGACACTGAGGGTTGCGATCCATTGCCGGACACGGAAAAAGACAAAAAAAAAAAAAAAAGAAGAGCTTCCTCTCTCTACCTGTCCCCCCAACCCCCTGACAATTTGTCTATGGGTAGCTGGTACCAAGCGGGATGGGTCAGAAGACTGGGTTTTCTCGGTCCCTCTCAGGATTCACACTTGACCTTTTTCAGGCTCCTTTTAGGGTGGAGTCTGTATGGCTGATCCCACACAGGCCTCATAGGCTTCACACAGACTCAATAAATGTTTGCTGCAATGAATAAACAAGGGATAGAGCCAAAGCAGGGAAAGATTTCTGGCAACTGGGAGCCACATGGGGGAGGGCCTTCAATCAGTTCCTCAACCACACCATTTAGGCAAAAGTCCTCAAACCTGACAGTGTCTAACAATCACAAAGGGCAGTTGGAAAAAATGACATTTCCCAAGCCTCACTCCCTGATATTCCTATTTAATAAATCTGGGGTGGGGGCCAAGAGCCAGCATTTTTACCAAGCCCCACCACCTCCACCCCCAACACACATGCCAAATCTGATGCTAGACCCAGAACTACCCTTTTGAGAAACACTGATTCTGGGTGAGGCTTGGAATGCAGGTAGGCACTGGGAGCAGGAAGAGGCGGCCCTAAACGGAAATTCAGAAGTTGAGAGAGGACTTTGAGATACTTAAAGTTGTATGTGCTTGTTTTGTGTATTTTCTTGCATTACAGAAAAAGAGGGAACTTGAGTCATCCACGATCAGGCCTTCTACTCCCAGCACCTAGAGTGCTGGAGCTGGAAGAAGCCTGAGTCCCAGCTGGTCCGGGCCCCCAGATGGCAAGTACACCTGGCAGATCCTGGACTAGTGGGCAGCAGCTCATCCCAAAGAAAGCATGCCTCCCAGCTGTAAGAGCCCTTCAGCCCAGAGAGCCAGAGGATTTCCCCTCAAAGCCAACTCCAGCCTCTGCTACCCCCTCTGCCCCTCACTTCTCTAAAGTGAAACATCTCACAGTCATTCGCTCCATGCTTCCTGTATAATTTCTTTATTTTTACTCCCCAGTTTGTGGGCTGTCTCTGTGTGGGTGTGGGAGAGAAGCTGGGTATTTCTACTTCTCTGCATTTTCCTTCTGAGCTGGGAGGGCTTTCACTTCCTCCCTAACTCTCAGTTCTGCCTTTCACAGACTGTCCAAGCCATGAGACCACCTTGCCCATCCTTCCTGAGCACCAGGGAAACAGAAAACTGACTGCAATTTGCTGCCCTCGAACTACCTTGCAACCACTTAGTAGCAAAAGGAAGCAATGGCTACAGCTGTAACCTCCCTAGGGCAGATGCCTTGTGGTGTAGTGTGAGTAGCGACAGAGGCAGGCAGGGAACCCAACCAAGACATCAACCCTGCCTTGCATCCCTCTTATACCACCATGGGCAAGCCTGGGCCTCCACGTCCTCTCCCTCAGCCTCTTCTGCCCCAGCATTCAGCCAGAGGAGGATTACTCTCCACTTGCCCCCAAACACCCCCAGCTCTGCCTGCTGGTCTAGTTCTACATTTGGGATATCTCAGGGATATCCCACACTGGAGCACAGAGCCATAGGAAGGGTTGGTCTCCACCAACTAGGCCTGACAACTTCCTGTCCCACCTCTCTGAACCTCAGTCTCCTCTTTCGAACAAAGTTATATGTAGATGCAGTGGAAGACTAGAAAATATGTATAAAGCACAGGAGGACTCAATCAACAGTGGCTGTTACTGGCAGGAGCTCTAAACGTGTATTGAAAAGGAATCCCTTTCCTTTTCTCTTTCAAGCACAAGGACCACAACCATCCAGAGAGCAAAGAGCCGCAGGCACTCCATCCCAGATCAAACACCGAGTGCACCCAAGGAAGGAGCCACTGTGGTCTAGCAGTGAAAGCCAGAGCCGCCCACCCCCCAGCCACCTATCCCAGAAGCCTGTCGGCTGCCCCTCGTTTTTCCGCTGTGTCCTCAAAGAAGCCGTCAGACCCTGAAAGGTTTGCTCTGGAGAAGCAGTTGCCCAACTCCTCTAAAGGAGACTGTATGGGCAGCTGGGCAGGCAGCCAGAGCCCATCCAAAGGCCTGGCTGCAGGAGCAAGTGCCCCCTGCCCGCTCCCTCAGCCCTCTTTCTCTTGTCTGGAAGAGGAGTCTGGCACAGGCCAGCCCCAAGAGGTCCCAGTCCGTCACCAGCCTCCCTACTCAGTTAAGTTCCCAGAACTGGGGCACTTGGTTTGCCAGAGCTGGTGCTTGCTGAAATGAGTGCGTGCAGCGGGAGGATCAGTGACTCAGCGCCCGTGATGTCAGTCCCTTCACAGTTAGGACACTGTCGGTCCACATATACACCCAGAGGGGTGGGGGAGAACCAGGAGAAGTGACCCCTCCAAAGCGGAGGGTGGAGAGGGCGCTGGTACAAGGAACACCCCAGGCCGGAGCATCACTCCGCTAGGACGCGCCCTCTTGGGCATCCCCTCTTAAGAGTAAATGGGGACACCGTTGTGTCAGACTCACAGGGGCACTGGGAAGAAGACACGGAGTTCGGGTTTCCGAGAACACACCGAGTCCTGTACACAGACGCAGGGAGCTTCCCAGCCAAAGGGCAGTCCCGGGGAGATCTCGGGGCCAAAGGCGCAGGACGCAGCAGGGGGCGCACGAGCGACCGCCCGCGTCCGCACACCTGGGTCAGTCAGCTCTGGGCCGGCACCCGGTGCCCGCGGGGACCCGAGCTAGCCACGGAAAAGGACAGCCGTCACACCTCCTTTCCTCCCTCTAGCCTCCCTCGCGTCTTGAGCGGCCACGGCGGTCTCCCCCGTCCGCCAGCTGCCCCAGCCCTCCAGGTGCGCTCCAAGCCCTTACCCAGCGTAGGGCAGCTCCCTGGGGCCAGCGCCACCCCCGGCGCGGCCAGCAGGATCGCCAGCAGCGCGCAGCGGACGGCCAGCATGTCCTCCTTGGCTAGCTCCTGGTCCCAGAGAGACGGGTGGGCGAGTGAGAACCTGGCGGCCGGGGCGGGGCTCCTGGAGGGCGGGCTCAGGCCCCGAGGCCAGCTCCCATCCCCGGGGGTCCGGCGCTCAGCACACACACGAGTCCCCCGGCTCCGCGCCGCGCTCGGCGTGGCTCCCTCTGGCCCGGCTCGGTGTCAGTGCGACTTCCCACTTGCACATGACTCAGAGCAGCGGACGATCCTGGCAACGCAGGAAAACATTTGAGGAACTCGCGCTTGGAGCGTCTCTCCGCGGTCCCACCGTGCGGTTACGAAAGCCGGAGCGGATGGCGCAACAGCCCCGCGCACCAGCAGACCGGTGGGGGTGGCTTCCTGTCGCCGCGCCGCACCTGAGCCGGGAGGGCAGGCGACCGCGAGCCCTACCAGAACCCCTCCCCCAAGTTCTGTTGATGACAAAAGGCCGTCTTGGCCACCATGGACTCAGTTTTGATTTTGGTTTCGTGAACAGTATTACTCTACGAAAGGCACACCTGGAGAGCGTTCAAGAAGGCGATGTGTCTCTTACCGTTACAGTAAAGCAGTACTTGGCAGCCTGGGTTGCCCACTGGAATTACCTTGGGAGCCCTAAAAACCACAGATGTCTGGGTCCGACAGAGATTCTGATTTAGTCGGTCCGGGCTGAGGCTTGGGTATCGGAGACTCTCCACCTTAACGGTACATTTTCTCTGCCCAGCTGCTGCTCACAGGCTGCAGCAAAGGCAAGCGAAGGGTTTGGGTTCTGGAGTCAAACAGATAAACCTGGGTTCCCATCCAGCTCTGCCACCTACTGTGTCTGTGACTGCTGTTCGAAAATCCGAGTCTCAGTTTTCCTCATCTGTCAGAGATAAGAAAGCCTATAGTGGACAAGGTTATTATGAAGATTCTGGGAGACAGCATCTAAGCACCCAATACAGGGTCTGGGCCTGTGCTCAGTAGATGTCAGAACCTACAAGTCTGCCCTCCTGACCTGACAGAAACTAGCACTTGGCTTTCAGGAGCACCCACAAGGTCCTTTTGAAGTGTCCCTCCAAAGTTCCCCACAGAGCCTACGCCTGATAGGGTGGCATCAGAGCCGAATTTGAAAGGAAAGAAATATGCCAAAATAAGATTTAGGTTGAGAAGCTTCCAGACCAGCAACTGCCCATGTGTGAATGTGCTTTTCCACTTTGGGCTTCAGGCTTGATTCTAACTCAGATCGAGGTTCCTGGGGCAGCTGGAACGGGCATGGTCTGACAGAACCTCCAAGTGGATAGAACCAGGCATGGAAAGACAGAGCTTCTGAAATGCAGCCCTCAGACCACACGCATCTGGATCTTTCTGTGGGAGCCACCTATCAGCAGTGCCAGGCAGAACCAGACACACCCCATGATGAGGGTCGGGTTTGTTTCAACCACTCCCACAGACAGGGAAAGAAAGGTATGTTGGAGGGTAGATCTTTTGGCACCCAGTCCTCTCTCCTGCTATTTAAAATGGGGTTGGGGGCCGGCCCGTGGCTCACTCGGGAGAGTGCGGTGCTGATAACACCAAGGCCCCGGGTTCGGATCCCACATAGGGATGGCCGGTTCGACCGCCTCTGCTTGGTTCATTGGAACACTTATTCTATTTTATAGTATGAAGTGTTTCCCGACTGTAGAATCACAATAAAGCCAAATGAGGTTTAAATTAAATTTGCTGTAGGGCCGGCCCAGTGGCTCACTCGGGAGAGTGCGGTGCTGATGGCACCAAGGCCCCGGGTTCGGATCCCACATAGGGATGGCCGGTTCGCTCACTGGGTGAGCGTGGTGCTGACAACACCAAGTCAAGGGTTAAGATCCCCTTACCGGTCATCTTTTAAAAAAAAATAATAAAAAAAAAATAATAAAATGGGGTTGGAGCAGGGCTGGAGGGTGGTTCCCACTGTGGTTGCCCCTTTCCTCTGTGTGGCACATGCAGACCTGAAAATAATCAGAGGGACTACAAGCTGCCAGCCTGAAACCGGAAGGCTGCAGAAAACATTCAGCTCAGATAGGAGAGTTTAAAATAGGGAGGCTGAAGCCCAGAATAGGCATCTTAGACCCCACCTGTCTTCTGCCTCAAAACAGACTTCTCCCTCTGGGAGCCTGTGCTCTGGAGTCAGACAGATAGAGTTGCCATCCCAACTCTGCCACTTGCTGACTGTGCAACTTGGGCAAGTTACTTAGCCTTTCTGAGCCTCCACTTCCTGATTTGTAAGGTGAAAGCAACAGCATACGAATTATTAGTGTTGTGGGCCGGCCCGGTGGCTCACTCGGGAGAGTGCGGTGCTGATAACACCAAGGCCCCGGGTTCGGATCCCATATAGGGATGGCCGGTTCGCTCACTGGCTGAGCGTGGTGCTGACAACACCAAATCAAGGGTTAAGATCCCCTTACCGGTCATCTTTAAATAAATAAATAAATAAATAAATAAATAAAAATTATTAGTGTTGTAATTCACATTAATAGACCTGGCCCATCTTTATTTTCCCAGCCTCATTTTCTGCATTTCCATGCCTTGCATATAATTATTCTAAATAATTAAATATTATTAATAAATTAATAAATATTCTACAATACTATTTATGGTTTCTCACCTCTGTGCCTTTGTTCAAGCTATTCCTTCCACCAGGAATTCCCTTGCTTTGTCCTACACTCCACTCACCCTTAAGACTCTACTCTGATGTCTTCTCCAGGAAGCTGTCTGGTCTCTTCTCTACTTGCCTGGAATCCCATCATCCACAAAGTCGGATTAGGTGGCCAGACTCTATGCTCCCTCAAAACTCCTTGCTCATTTTGTTTACCCCCATGTCTTCCCTGCTACACCATAAAACTCATCTCTATATCCACACTGCTGAGCAGGGCCTGGCACATGGTAAGGGCCTTTGTCTGGGAGATGTGGCCTCCCCCAGGGTGGACCCTGAGCAAGTTCTCTGGCCTCCTTTTCAAGCCCTGCCTACACTAAGTGGAGTTTCAAAATTTTGGGACCAACATTCCAAGCTTTGTTATGAAAACTACTGATAAGGAAGTGAAGAAAACACACCTGACCTGCCTTTACCCAGGTAGCAGAAGGAACGTGTGGGACATGTCTGAGCCAGGGCACCTCTCTCAGGTAACTGTGCTGTCTACAAAGTGCTTTCGCATACACAGTCTCCTCTGAACTTATCAACCCTGAGGGCTGGAAGGTATTGTCCCCAGTTTTCAGTCTGAGTAGACTGAGGCTCAGAGAGGTGAGGTGACTTATTCAAGCCTGCCCAGCTGATAACTGGGAGCTCTGGGGTGAGAAATGACTCCTGGCCCAGGATTCTCCTTGAGAGAGGGCTCAGTGGGGCCAGGACCAAAGACACAGCAGGACATCTGTCTGCCCCATCACAGCAGGCACTCGGGGTTGCATAGGCTGTAAGGGGCGAGTAGAGGAGCAGAACTTGGTGTTTGGAACACCCCCCTCGAGCCTCCCAAACTCCCTCTCCTTCACCTCTATTCCCGCAGTTAACCTAGAGGGGACTCTCTGGGCTGACTCTTTCCCAGCAAGCAAATCCTCTCTCCCATCTTTGATCTGAAGAGATTAAGCTTTTTAAAGTTTGCCAAAGACAGAGACCAATAGGAAGCCCCATAGGATAAAAATATAAGCTTGTTTTGAATCCAAACGGGACTTAGTCATCACCTGCTACTACTCCCTCCATTTAAAGTTAAAGAAACTGAGGCCTTAAGAGGTGAAGTCTGCATAAGATGGTACAGGCAGTTAGTGACAGAACTGGTCAAAGACCCAGATGTCCTGACTCATAGCGGTCGTTTTTGATTCCCACTCTGCCCCCACCTTCCGGGTTTGGGCTGATGTGTTGGAGCCATTCTCCACAGCCGGAGTTTAAAACCATACCCTTTGTTCTCTGCTCACCTTGGGAGTCTATCTTTAGGGGCAATGATGATTCTGCGAAGTGCAATGGGGTGGGGTTGGACTGACATGCAGACCCTTCCCCTGGCCTCTGGCCCTGGAGTCAGCTCCTGGTTAATCAATAATTACAGGAAAGTGTTCCTTATTCTCTGAAACCTTCCCCTCCCCCTTTCTCATCAGCCTGGGAGGAGGTGTATGGGTAGACAGAGTTATAATATATGGGGGACCATCTGATCAATAGAAGTCAGTGTCACTGACCAATGGCACCCCCAAAGTCAGGCCCCAGCCAGGACCCAACACCTTCACCCTGTCTGGGGAGTCCCTCACTTTTTTGGGGGGTGGGGAGGGGAGTGTGGCTAGCCAGTAAGGGGATCCAAACCCTGATCTTGGTGTTTTAACGTTGTGCTCTAACCATTCGTGCTAACTGGCCAGCCTCAGAGACCCTCACTTTCACAGTAGAGGAATGCAACACCCCTGGCTCTGCAAAATGACAGTCAGTCTCACATCATACTCGATCTGCAATGAAGTTCAATGCATTTTCTGTTCCACTTTCCTTTGCTTCACTAGCTGAGTTTACCTCAGAGAAGGGATTTTAAGCACCATTCTCAGAAAAGGATTATAAAAGTTTCTCCCCTTGTAATATTTATAGAATGTTATGATTTTGTAACTGCTAAAAAGCATCATGATTAAAATTAAGCGTAGAATTGTATGATCTAGCAGTTCCATTTCTGGGTTTATATACAAAGAATTGAAAGCAGGGACTCAAACATATTTGTACACCCATGTTCACAGCAGCATTTTTTTTTTTTTTTATAAAAGATGACCAGTAAGGGGATCTTAACCCTTGACTTGGTGTTGTCAGCACCACGCTCAGCCAGTGAGTGAACCGGCCATCCCTATGTGGGATCCGAACCCGAGGCCTTGGTGTTATCAGCACCGCACTCTACCGAGTGAGCCACGGGCTGGCCCCACAGCAGCATTATTCACAATAACCAAAAGGTGGAAACAACCCAAATGTCTATTGGCAGATGAATGGATAAACAAAATAAGGTATGTACATACAATAGAATATTATTCAGCTTTAAAAAGGTCCC